ATGTTGGGTGGGATCTTGAAACAGTAACTTTGTTTACCAGAATGATTAGTGATTAGCCCTGGGGAGCTAAGCAAGTGTCTCACATGTTTGCCATCTCTGCTGTCATAAGTTAGGAATGGCTTCTGTGAAGAGAAGCGACAGGGTCCAGCTTTTATCCTGGCAATGGGAAGAAAGTGCAGACCTTGGGAAGAAGCTTGCGGGAACTCAGGCTCGTGGTGAGGAGGGTGTGGGCTGCGTGTCAGTGGTGGAATGGAGAGAGGTCTACAACATTGGTTATTATCTGGAAAATAAGCACATATGTGGGCAAAGAAGAGCAAAGCATTACAATTGGCTTTAAGGTTTGAGCATGAATGTCAGTAACCTTCTCTGTTTTTATAATAATTTAGGTTAATAATTTACCAACAGAGCTAAATAAACCTTGTTGACTGTTACTCCTAAATGTCTTGGTCATGCAGGAGTTAAATATACAGAAAGCTACAGAATGCTATTATTTTGGAGCCCTGTGAAAATGTAATTTGATTAGTCTATTGGACGATATTCCAAAGAACCAAATGTCTTCCATGAATCAGTCAGAAATGCTTAGGAAAACCAAAATAAAAATTGCTTTCTAAGCCAATAAAGGTGCTAATTAGTGCCTTCTGCATATCTCACTACATCTTCTCCAGTAATACATTTTGCAGGGTTAAGTGCGGTGTCTGCTGCTTCAGATGGCAGAAGTCCACCTAACAGTAGGGAGAGTGGCTGGAGACTCGAGGATCTAAAAGAGAATCAGAACTGGCATTTAACCCATGTAATGGGATATTTTGAGTAGAACAGGGAAAATTATTTCTTACTTTAATTTTCTTCCAAATCAACTCTTAGGAAATTTGGGGATAGTAAGACCGTTTCTTTTTCTTTTTTCTTTGTACCCCAGTGCATTTGTAGAGCAAAGTTTGACATTAAAAACCTACTAAGGGGGGGGGGCCCTCCCTGGTGGCGCAGGCGGGTTAAAGCACAGCACTAAGAAGCTAAAGCCACTTCAGCATGAGTTTGATCCCCGCCTGCCCGGGAGGTGACCACATGGCGCGGCAGACTTCTCCTGACCCGCCCGCTGCTCCCCTCAGCAGTGCATTTCGTCGATCTGCCTGTTCTGTTCCCCACTCTCTCTGGTGAATCCTCTCACTGCCCCTGAGCCTCTGGCCTGCACCCCAGTTCTGTATGCACAAATAAATAAATCTTTAAAAAAAAAAAAACCTACTAAGGGGGACCCTCCCGGGTGGCGCAGCGGGTTAAAGCACAGCTGATCTTATAAATCAGCAAAATGGACAAAAACAAAACAAAACCACAAAAACCCTCTAGTGGACAAAGAAGAACAGTTTCATGCAGGCTTATAAAGAATATCAGGCTCCTGGATCCCAGAACTGAGAAGGTGAATCAGGAAAGGAAACAATACCCATGAGCATGACCCTTGGTCTTGCGGAGCTGGGGAATGCCAAAGGGCAAGCAAGCAGTGGATCTAATACATTTCTTTTTTAAAGATTGATTTATTTATGGGGTACAGGCCAGAAGTGCAGGGTGGTGAGAGGCTTCACTCAACAGGCAGATCGATGAAGTACACTGCCAAGGGGAGCAGCGGGCGGGTCAGGAGAGGTCTGCCACGCCATGTGGGTCACCTCCAGGGCACGGATCGAACTCATGCTGAAGTGGCTTTAGCTTCTTAGTGCTGTGCTTTAACCTGCTGCACCACCAAGGAGAGCCCTGGACCTAATACATTTTTAATTATTTTAATTATAATTTTAAAAATCAGGCTTACTTTGTAAGTTTAAAAAATTATATCATTTTTTTTCTGGAGTGGTTTAGTTAAAACATCCAAGCTTGGCAACAGAGAAGGAAGAGTCTAAGGAGTCGTAGCAGTGGATGTAAAATATGTCTATAGTTCATTGAGGCTGGGATTCAAATGAGGAGAGTTAAATATGCCTCTTGTCCCCTAATTGTCAGTGACAGCTGACACTAGAGTATCTAAAAGAGAATCAGTTCTGGTATTTTAGCCTATGCTATGGGGTGTTTTGAGTGAACAGGGAAAATTTTTTTTCTTGCTCTAATTGCGGCCAAATTAACCCTTAGGAAACGTGGGGACAGTAAGACTCTTTTCTTCTTTCTTTGTAACCCCGGACTGTAAATTCAAAGATGAGTACACCCTGTTCCCAGCTGGTGCTGTAACTTCCTGAGAGACATCAGATCAGAGATACCCCCAACCCTTCCCTACCCCACTGTGATCTAGCCAGGTCCACTTTGCTCAGACCATAGAAAACATGTTACCTTTAGGGGCTTCTTTTCCTCTTTGGGGTTTCTTCCTGGACACCAGATTGCTGCTGAACAGGAGAGCAAGACAGCAGAATGGCTTCTAGAATCCCACAAAGATGCCCTGGGTGAAGGCCTGTGAATTTTTCGGGGTGACTAGATTGTCTGCAGGGCTAGTTTTCTGGTTTTGTTTTTGTTTTTGTTTTAATCAGCAAGGCTGAGATAAACTTCTCTTCAATATCTGAAAATGGATCCTTTGTCTCTGACAGATTGAGCAATTTGCTGTGGCCACCATGCCAGACCACTGGCCTGGATGTGCACATTCATTGACATGTTCTAGAAAACCAGAATAGACTGGAGCAGTGGCAAAAATGCTACCAAATCCCTGAGAAAAAAAAGGAATATTTTCAGAAAGCAGAAATACCCAGAAACTCCAGAGTTCTCTAGATAAGCTAAGCCAGCACAAAAAGAACAGGCTTTTATAAATTATATACAAAGCAGTCATGGAGGAGAGGATTATAGGAAGGGAGGCAGCGAGATATAGAAAAATTTTACTTAAAATGATATTTTATCTTACACTATGAGCAGCTTACTATTTAATTCATTATGATAGTCATTATAACATGACTGGTGAAAATTATGATGTGTTTGCCTCTACAACATGATTAACAAGGTGGCAAATCAGCTTTTTCTCATGTGACAGCTTCAATAACATGGCAATGTTTTCATGGTTTGAAAAGTTCTGAGGCTGAATTGAGTTTGGATTAGCTGCCATGGATTAGCAGTGTCTGCCTGCATGAGAGACTTGGTATTAAGAATGGATATTTTGCAAACTCCGAATCCTGGAGGTGCCACACAGGGTGAAAGAAGAGCTAAAAGAAAGATTGCCCCCATTTTCAATTATTAGAATTTTACAAAATAATTCCCCTACCAAAACCATATTAGCAAAACCACCGGTGCAAATGGACATATAAGCACAGAAGTTAGGGTTTTAAGCTCATTTCTAACTTGGTGCATTAAGTTTGGAGAGACCTTGTATTTTTAATTACATGCATATTTCTCACCAGGTATCACAAAGGACAGTTAAGAAATTTCACATATGTACTTTAACAATACTCATTCACCTTTATATTCTTTCCTCAATAGTGGCTCTCTGGGATGTTTTCATGAAGTGGTAGTATATTTTCCTCAAGTTAATAACTTAAAAAGTTTAGATATGTACCCTGATATTACTGTTTACACAAAATTCCACCTGTCACATTTATTCTAAACAAAGGACAGCAAATAAACTTTGCCTTATTCACTTAGTTGTCAGCAGTATTCCAGTTCTGAGAGCCCCTCAGGTGCTGCGAGAAATGACATTGATTAATGTCATGAGAGTGGTAGTCCGGGGGTCACATATATCCTCACCCTCTCATTTTTAAACCTTTATCATGAGCTACATAATTTACTCTTTCAGACAAGTGACAGAGTCACATCTCAATAATACACATCCAGTCTGTTTTTCCAAAATATCTCCCAACCTGCATTATCTTTTTTTAATTGCAAAAAAAAAAAAAAAGTTCTTACAGAAATGCTAAATGACAACACATCTCACGCATTTGCATCCAGGAGAGCAACACGAGAGGGGAAATAGGAAGACTAGTGAAGCTTCTGAGGACCTTGCCCGACTTTGGAAGACTTCCTTCTACAGACATCTGCCCCATGCCATGTCCTGATCAGGATCTGAATAGCCCAGAGCCTCCAACATCCAGCATTTAGCTCTTCTTGGCTGTCCTCAGCACCACTACTAGGCAAATGGACTTTCAGCATCTTCTTTCTTGCATTTACTTGTTTGTTCCTAAACTTCTAATGGTTCTTATGTCCTGATATTACCTATAAACACCTCATTTTGGTTTTTAAATAAGCTACAAGACCTTCTGTTGGCAGTGTGGTGTTTTGAAAAGAAATGACAGCACTACATTAAAATAAGCCGTGACATCTCCTAGCCATGATTTCTCTGAGCCTGTTTGCCTCTCTTTTCAGTGAGAAATAATACATAATTCTTGGATTTTCTATGAGAATTAAAAGAGATTTTTTGCATAGCATTGACACAATGAGGTTAATGCTAAAGAAATGGTAACTATTATTACTATAAACAATAACAAAGATAACACTATATTCCCAGATCTACTATTTTTGACTGTGATCATTAACTATTATACTTTCATTAGTCTCAATTTTCTCATTGAATAATAAGGATAAGTCATAAGTTATAAGGTTGTTGTAAACATTAGTATGGAAGTTGCTCAATAAGTATTGTGCTTTTATATTTTCTGTCTCATCTTTGCATCTCAGTTTAGTGTATCATGAGAGAAAATCTAGTTCCCTATAGCACTTACTAAAAACACTCTTCTTGCATGGCAATACCTTTCTAATTCATCAAATTCTTTCTATTCTTAAAAGTCTAAGATACATACCACTTTCTTCATGAAAACTTTGATGACTATATCATTCACCACTGACTTCCCTCTTCACTAAGCAAATACCGTATTTTTTCGAATACTTGTCACACAATCTAGCCATTAATTACTTTCTGTCTTTTTCGCAGAAAGAACTTGTATCCTATCCCATGCCAATTTCAGAGGTGGAAATCAATTGCACATTGTCCATTTGAGGATGAGAAAATCTTCCATGAGATGAAAAGAAGCTAAGTGTATCTCCCCTTTCTTTTTTTGCAGTTTCTTTGCCTGAACAAGGAATGGTTCAAATGACTGTGAAAGAATACATGAGGTAGGTGGCTGAGGCTGAGACATTTTGCACCAGTATTCCACGGTGGTGTCTTCATAGATGAAACAGGAGTGGGGAGCTCAATTGTCTGTTGAAACCAAAATCTCTTGTTCAGAAACATGAACTTTCTCGGTCTTAAGTACAGAAGCACCTGAACCAAGAGGCAAGAGCCCAGTCACTCTTAATACGTGGGGAAAAACTAAATCAAATTCAGCTGCCCAGGTGGGGAAATTTAGCTTCCTTAGAAAATTTGCTGTCTACAGTGTATTTTGTGATGAAATCCAACTTTGTGCCCATTGGTTAGTATATATGTTTAAACTACATATATGTAGTGATAACTGAGCTATATAAAATGGGACTATATTCTATATAGCATTGTTCCATTCTGTTTGAAAATGTTTTCAAATTATGTTGCAATGCCAGCCTCTTTGGGCAGAGGGACACTCACTTTTGCAGTAGCACAGGAGTTTTATACCTTTGCATATGGCTACAGAACCTAGAGGTTGTCAGCCAACTGTACGAACCCTCCACCACTAAGAGGTTTGATGTGGCGTCGCCTCAGTGGCTGTTCACTGTACCTCTTTCGCCTCAGTGGCTGTTCACTGTACCTCTTTCCCCATGTAATTTTAACTTTTCCTGAAAGTTGGTGCCTAGCAAAGCTGTGTTCCTGAAAGATTCCCCAATGATTTGCCATCTGTCAAAAGTGAGACATTCTATCAACTTTATAATGAGCACTAGCCAGCACCTAACACTTAAATTCTCACACCTTCTGTAACACTAGGTTCTTGAAAAGAGAAGCAGCACCTCTGATGCATGCTCTCTTCTTCAAAGGCGTGGCCATTGTGGGATTCCTAGAGAGGAATAGGAAATGCAAATGTTTGCTCTGGAAGGAAAGATGCACTAAGACTTCCTAGGAGACTCTAAATCAACATTGATATTTATCTTCCCCACCCCACCTTAGATCTCTGCATCAGTTTTCAGAAATTCCCACCTTATCCAGAGGGACCAGCTTCAACTCTTACCATTCTGCAGCAAGTATACCACAAAGGTATGTGATTTCCAGCTACTTTTCATCCAGAGAAATCATTCTGTGCCACAATGGGTTTCATGAAATTATAAATAGGCACTTGAGAAATACTTGTTGAATGAATGGATGAGAGAATGGATAAAGGATTTCTAAAGACCATTTTGCAAGAATGTAAGAGTCAATGAAGTTGGACTAAATATCTCTCAAAAGAGAAATGCTTAAATAAACTATTGGTCCACCCATCTGATGGAATTGTATGCAGCAATAAGAAATATATAGAGTTATAAACACTAATTTAAATTAATTTTCCAGTCATATTGTTAAGGGGGAAAAAGCAAGAAGCAGATAAGTATAGAAACTATATTAGCATTTATAAAGTGAATAGTGAAAACTGCAAAGAAATTTTACAACTATAGAGAAAATGTCTGTAAGTTACATATAGATTTACCAGGAAGGAGGTCAGGATTGTGACATTACTAGGGGGGAAATAAGGAGCTTTAGTTGTAGTTTAATTTTTTTTTAACATGATGAGTATCATTATTGAAAAATTAATAGAAATAGAAAGTTAATGGTATGGAAAATATGTTTAATTACAAGCTGATTCATTTTTACTTTCTTGTCCACAAGACTATGAACCTTTGAAAAGCAGGCGATGTCTTAGTTCCCTTTTGTACCTTAGGTACCCCGTGGAAAGTCTAGAATATGATAGATGCTCAATAAATATTTGTATAAACAGGATAAATTTTGTACCTAGCTGTCCATAAGATTATAGATTGCATCTCATGAGTAATTTAGATTTCTCACAGGAATTGTGTTCTCCTTTGAGCCTCTGCTATATTAAGGTATCACATGATTGGCACCTCTAGTGCACCAGCTCTTTCCAAAGGCTACAACATCCAAATGATGCCACTTAGGCCCACAGTGAAGTTCTTGGCCTCCCTATTCTCCATTGATAGAGTCAGGACCAAAGCTAGGGTTCCTACATCACATGAGAAAGTGTTAAGATGAGAATGGGCAGCATCTGGTAAATGAATCTGTCAGTGTGACTCTAGGTTTCAGTTGTTGGATGTATGAATGGCCAAGTATATGAGCTGTAATTATTCCAATGTAAATGAAGTGATGAGAGCAAAATTATTAAAACTATCTCAAATTAGCTCCTTAGTGTAGCAAGTAAAGGCAATGTAAACTTCAAAAAAGAACCTAGCAAATGTAGGAAGCCTTCATCAAACATTCCAATTCCAACAGCATCCTTGAGTTCTTAAAGTCATAGCAATTACCAAGAAGTATATTGGAACGAAGGTGGGATGTGGAAATATAATTTCCAGATAGCTGATGGTTATATTTTAAATGCCAGGCTGAATGAAACAATTTGATCAAAGCACTTCTTGTTTCTCAGTCAAGTCTGAAAAACCACAGAACTTATTTAAACCTTACCTAGGGACTTCAAATCATTATTTATAAACATCAGCCCTTATGATCTGCATCTAGTGAACCTCAGTAACCTGGGGAGCTGATGATGCCTCAGACAGACTCTTGTAAGTATTCTTCTGAGTCTCCTGGTTAGTGTTGTTTATTTTTTTCTTTTTCATCTCTTGCCATCAACTTCCATTTCTTTGTGGCTATCAGCGCACTACCTCTGATTATGTTCTCACAAGCTCCCTTCTCTGTCTAATTGAATGTTTTGCCTATTGTGAAACTGATAGTCAAATAAATAAAATCATTAATGTTGCATAGAAAATACAGGCAAGCAGGAAAGAGAGACTGAAAGGGAGTGGCAGACTGTCCTTTAAGTAAGTGTGGATGAGCCCTAACAAATGCACCACCTCTATCTATCCAGAGCCCCCTTTTCACACAATTTCTGCAAGGTTAATTAGTCAGAGTTCACCAGAAAAAAAATGGCTTTTAGTTAAGAGACCTGTTACTGGATAAAGATATTCATACTTTTACTGCAGCATTCCTGAATGGCTGGAACTTTGTGAGGAAGATCCAGTGGAGATTCTCTTGGATCTAGGGTTTGGTGCTGATGAGCCAGACATCTGCACACAAATCCCAGCCAGATTCCTGGGTTGTGCATCTGCAGCCAGAGGAATCAACACTCGTGTGTTTCTTGAAGCTCAAAAGCAGCGAATGGACATAGAGAACCCTAACTTGTATGGTAAGTGGGGGGGGGGGTCTGACTCAGCAGGGGTGAGTGATAGGATGAGTCACAGTCTGCACAGGGCTGGGCTGAGGTCTATGGGTAGGAGCAATCAGTCCCTTCATTGCAGTGACCCCAAACGAAGGTTGCCTTCGTCACACCATGTGGCCTTCGTCACACCATGTGTCCACATCTTGCTGGTGTTTGGGAAAATCGGGATCTACCCTTGTTATCCTCACTCATGGACTTGGCTCCACCATCTAAAAAGTTACTGGTTTCAATGATAGTAATAAGGCATTTTTTTTTAAGATTTGGTTTCTTTTTTTATGTTTACTTTAAATTTAAATTGACAGTAATTTTCATACCATATAACTTTGGGTATGTAAATGTAGATCATACTTGGTTTTTAAATTCTCCTGCTCAAAATTTCCACATGTTAAGTCTGGTCAGATTTCATTGTTCAAAATAAGCCAAGTGGCCAATTTCACCTCTAGAAGTAAAAATGTGCAATTATATTAAATGCCCAGGAGAAAGAAAGTAGGCAACTGGGAAACAGCACCACCATGTACCCTAAACATACACCTGGGAACTGACAAAGCCTAGCATGAGTCAGAAGGTCCAGCATTCATTTCCTCATCGATGAGGAACACCACTCCTTCCTCTATAAGCTGCTTGAGGTCGCTATCAATCAGCCATATCTCCAGATTCATGGACTAAAAATGCCAAAACTGGGGGCTCTCCCTAGTGCAGGTTAAAGCATCACACTATGAAGCTCTCTGCAGCCACTGCAGCACAAGTTCCATCCCTGGCCAAGGAGCTGACCCACATGATACAGCAGACCTCTCCTGACCTGCCCGCTGCTCCCCTTAGCAGTATATTTCAGTAGATCTGTCTGTTCTGTTCCCATTCTGTCTCTGGTGAATCCTCTCTCCCCTCACACCTCTGGCTTGTACCCCAGTTCTGTAAGCATAAATAAGTAAATCTTAAAAAAAAATTCCAAAACTTTTTAGGTATCATATCTGCTGTTATTTTCCCCCCACTGGTGGTCCAAGGATGCTTTTCTGTAGGATATTACTAATGATGTTCTTGGGATATTTACACTGTACTCAAGGGTTTTGGAGGAAAGATGCCTTGGAGGTGGCATTTACCTACTGCAGGATTTGTTTAATATGTCAGTCAAGGTGTGCTCTCTGTCTCCATGAAGGGATGCAGTGTACTGTATTCAAAGTCATTTCAGGTACAGAACTGCTCTCGGAGGCATGTTGAGGAACATCTCTGTGGAGTGGAGCTTGTAGACTTCTGAGCTGGGGGAAATGCCAAATTTCTTTCTGAAATAAATTCTCTTCAGTAAATAAATTCACTGAAAAGAAAATCAAGTGAGATGAAGTGTTTCCGTCAAGCAAATATCTGGAATAAAATTTTCAGTTAGATTTTTCATCTTTGTTTCTGTTTTTATGTAGGTAAAATAGGTCTCAAAAATCTCAGCACTGAGATTTAAAAGAAAATGGGGATGTCCACCAATAGAATTTGCAACCTAACATTTAGGAGAAATTAATAGTATTTTTGTGTTATCTCCTCCTCCAAGTCACGTAGAGATCCAAGTTCTTTGATCAAATCTTTATTTGGGCAGAATAATAACACTTACCAATATTTGAGGAGTTTTTGAGCTGATCTGTGAAGTAAACATTTTACAGAGGAAATTGACACATGGATTATAGGGCAACCAGATCTTGGCCTCTGATCAGTGCTCGCAGCTCACTCTGCTTTTTCACCACCTAACACTTTGCTGCTAGTACACATTAACTATTCTCATTCAACACTTACCCATACATTATGGATTCAAGAAAGCTGGGAAGGTCAAAAGTAAAACAAGTGATAATAAAATTAGCTGACTCTTTAAGGGCATAATGAAAATATCTCTCATTCAAAGTCAATACAAAAGGCTCTAACTTGGGGCCAGGAGAATCAATTGACTCATTGTTCAGTCTACCCAAAGGCAAAAAATAAAACACAGATATTATAATGTGCTCTGAATTGACTTAGCCAATTAAATTGATTGGTTTTGTCTTAATCTAAGTATAAAAGCCTGCTATGGGATGAAAATGAAAACCATCATAAAGAAGGAATTATGATTATATCATAACCTCAGGCTCACAAAAGAGATTTAGTTTCAACTAAAGCTGAATGCAGGAGGAAAATGTAATCAGAAATGCTTCTAGAGCTCCTCTCAGCCTTGAAGGAATATGGCAGTCCTCTGTGAGGACCATGTGTGGAGTGGATATTAGCTCATATATCCTCCATACAGGTAAAGGAAATAGGTAAACACAAAAATATGCTCATGGAAGAGTCAGTAGGATTTCTGTGATGGTGCAAACAGAACAGCAGATAAATCCTGCCAGTGTGGCCCTTGACCATTGCTGTCCTGTGTGATGTCTCTGGGGCTGAGAGAAGGCAGTGCAATAAAAACAAAACGTTCTCTTTCTCTTACCATGCTTTCATTATTTAGAGATGCCAAAAATATTTCTCACCACTTGTTTCAATGGCTGTGTGTTGCATTAATTCTCTCCCATGTTCTATTTATTGGTTTGAATATTGGCTTGATGACTGAGGTCAGACCTTCCAGAAAAAATTTACAAGAGATTCTGTTTTGTTTGGACAGGTAAATGGGTCTTCTTAGAAGATTGAAGACAATATATTCTCAGATCAAAAACTTAAATCACTTCTGATTTTACTACATGTACATGTTATTTTAGATGTGCATGATTTGGTAGGTTATTTTTGGAGTCTGAGATCAATTATTTTTTCTTGTAAATTAATAGTAATTCCTCACTTTACATCATTTGTTTTATAGAAGTTTCCATGTGAATGTTTTGAAGTTCCGTGAGAGTGGGGTAAACCCGTACTCACATTTCCTGTAACATGTTATTGGAAATGAATAGGGGAGTTGATTTCATAACTGAAGTTTAACGTCTTCCCCAATTTGAAAGTCACATGAGCTAAACATCCTCCTTCATTTTAACTACACTTAAAAAACTCAGTCTGCAAACTGTATGTTCTTTGTGTTTTTTAGGTCGTTTCCAACAGTTGAAAATGCTGAACCATGTGGCCAATGCCTTCTCATCTTTGCTGAGTGAGGTTAATGTCCTCCAGAACAAAACAGAAGAAAAAAATGGAGAAGAGAGTGTGCAAATATCCTTAGGCAGGGAGCCCAAAGAACAGCGAAGAAGAATGGGCAAACTTTTCAAGAGAGCTTCAAAGCAGGAAGGAAGGAGGAATTGCAGCTCAGAAGGGTGGCGGTCATTGAAGATGAGAAACAAATCTTTCATCACCTCTGAAAAACCAGGAGCATGTGGAGAGGAGTTACCAGCATCAAAAAATAACCATGTCCAGAATCATTTGTCTCAATTAGCAGAACAGGCACCTCTCCAAGCCTGTGATGACTTGACATCTGATCACCCCCCCTGGGCACTTCTGAGTAAGCAATGGCCTCACTCATCGAGGGCAGCCAAGCAGACTCCTCCTTGCTGTGTATATAATGGCTCAGTCAAAGAGAGAACACAAAAGGAGAATTCAATTCAGATGGACAAGCTCAAGAACTTGTTTTGTTGTGATGGCAATGGACCAGACTCCTTTGAAATGGAAGAGGTCAGTGTTATAACTAAGCACTCAACTTCTAAGGGAAATAACCCTCACCAAGACACATTTTTTCCTTCCAGTCCACCATCTTTCAACCACTTAGCCCTGCATCTTATTGTTCTAAGCTCCTGTTTAGTCCAGGATATTAGGGTCCTTCTAATAGCTTCCATCAGAATTAGACTAGTATGTACCTAAACTTTGCTCTCTCTTATTCTCTATTTATTTATTTATTTATTTTGTTCAAAATTAAGTCCACAGGTCATTTCTGACCTTGCCTTGCTATTTTATTATGCATCTCAGCAATTTGATATCTACTATCTGCTTTTCCATGTTTCACTTTCCTTGAGGGTAAGTTCAACTACTTCCCACTAAGAGAAATTTGCCCTTCCCAGTCCTCTTCTTTCTCCAGCTTTGGCAAGGTGAGCTTATTGCAGTGAGAGTAACCTCCCTGGTGAGACTGTCTGATCCCAAGGACCAAGAGATGTGCTTGGAAATATTTCCCTCATGATGCTGAATGCAGGAACTTGGGCAAAGTAGAGACTTGTATTTGGTATTTATACCACTGTATTCAAGTGGTATTTTATTTGCTTGCTTACTTTGGGTTTGATTAATATTGACATAACTTGACCATCATCTCACATATTCACTGCTCATTCATCCCCATCTTCACTCACACACTAATCTTTAACCCCATTTAGATGACTTTCTTACCTACAATATAGATAGACACATATTTTTACTTATTTCCCTGTTGTTTAATGTAATTATAAAAGAAGTACATTATACCTAGGCTTCTTCCCTCTTTATAGTAAATTGTGGACAAGTTGGACCTTTTTATACATATTTTAAGCCTTCTCCTTTGGGACATTTATACTTCAAGCACTCTGGTGAGCTCTGGACACAGTCTCTGTCCTCAAAAGAATCACTTCCCAGTGGCAGGGAGGGAGTACAGAAACCACTTACATATAAAGGACAGTGACAGCCTCACGAATGTGCTTTCAAAGTCACTATGTAGAGATGCTTGGTAATCTGGAGGTAAGCAAGAAATTAAGTGATTCTTAACCAGTTAGGGGACTGTAAGAACTTGTGGGAAATGATGCTCATAAAAGAATAGGAGTTACGAGAGCATGGAGGTAGTACTCTCCATCCCACAAAGATATTAAAATTGCCTCAAAATATAATCATGTACTTAATGACAGCCAGGCTTTAAGAAGCGAATCATTAGGTGATTTCAGCGTTGTGCAGGCATCATAGGGTGTAAATACACAATCGTCAATGTCGGTGCTACCTCTAGTACACCTGAGGCTGTCTGGCCTAGCCTTGGGTGTCACCACTGTATTTATGATCCACTGTTAACCACAATATTAAGCAACACATGTCAGTATAGAGCTGCTTAAGATCCTAATGTCTATGTAAATATGTTTAGGGATGCACATGTCTTATGTCAAAAATAATTTTAAATAGTAGCTTAAAATGAATAAAAATTGCAAAGGGTCAAATAAAAACAAATCCGTGGTCACTGCCCAGATTTGAAGAAGTGAAGTGGCACTGAAAAAGTGTTTTTATTTAGTTCATCTTGCAAAGATTATTTAATGACCAAACTAATAATTAAATTACTATAATGCATATCAGGAAAAAATGTAATTCACCAGTCAATCTGTTAGATTAAGTAGGATCCAAACAAGAACTTTCACCAAAAGCCAGATCATTGTCAAGTTTCACTAGACAACACTGTGACTTTAGTTAAGATTCTTCCACTTCCCTTAGAGACACAAATGTTCATTGAATATGAATTTATATGTGAATGAACAGGAAGTGGTAAATATATTCAGCATAAGCATCCTAGGACCTTTGCAGCATGTACTTCCAAATACTCTTAAAAGAGTGAAATTTGAAGAAAAGTGACATTAGTATAAATTGGGAGAGAACAAACTCAGACATCAAAAGAAAACAAGCTCATATGGATTTTGGGGCACAAAGCAGGCATTGAATACAAAACTTTGTTGAATGAGTAAATTAGTGTAATAAGTATTTGATAACATTGCTTTAGTTAGTCGCTTCCATAGAAAAACAGGATAGTCTGTTGAATCTCACAGTCAATTTAATTAATAGTCTTTCTTTAATATTTTTGTCCAGATTGCATATGTGTGAGGCTACACGTGTATTTAATGCAAAAATAGACTTAAAAATAAACCTTACTATTTGAATTTTTTTTTCTAAAAAAGTATACTTCAAATACTACCTCCTCATGTCACAGACTGAAATAAAAATATTTGTTTCACCCAGTACCGATGGATAAGTAAATGAAGCATGGGTAGGTTGCATCTTAAACAGCAGCTAAAGCCAGATTTAGTAGTCATTTTTTCAATGGCAAATTTTAAAATATAATTATAAGAAATGAAAAAATATGTGTAAATTGGCAGATTTTCATGACATTTAAAACATGAGCCAATGTATTTAAATATCTAGATATCAGACTTTTCAACTGTGATTGGCCAAATTTGGCCCCCCAGATCAATCCATGTTTTCTTTGAAGTCCTACTAAAAGGCTGAATTTGGCAATATTTGACTCACTTCTCAAAATTATGATTCCAACAGAATTGTGCATAGATTTTTAATGCAAAAATCAACATATTTTGTGTTTAATTTTATTTAGTAGAATCGAATCTGTTCCTTTTCCTTTCAATTCCCAAACATATTAAGGGAATTTAAAATTTATGAAATTTCTGCAATTATAAACTCAAGGTAGGATGTTTCTTTATATTGGCAATATATTTGGAATTGTTAGTACTCATTTGTTATTTTATTTTTTTCAATAGACAAACATGTAACTTAATGGCAATAGTGGATCTTTCTCCTTGATAATGGTCACAATCAAATAATTATTTTATATACTTGAAAATTTATATGATGCTCTCTGATTTAAGTTGCAAAGTCAATAAAAATAACAATAAAAAGTGGGTCCATAAAGTACTTTCTTTGAAAAAAAAAAGGTGAAGAATTGAAAAAGGAATAAATATTTCTTCTTGCATTGCTGAGCTATAACCTCGGGGTCTTCTTTTTATTCTGGGTTAAAGGTAATTTTGGGTATAGATACCACCATGTTTTAAAGGTTTACATTCCTTAAGCTAGCTTTCAGTATTCGGATATCAATCCCAAGTAAATAGTGTAACATGTAGAAATAGATGTAAGTACAAGAACTCCCATCTCAGCATTCTTTCGTTTTTTATTTAAAGATTTTTATTTAGTTGTGCATGCAGAACTGGGGTACAGGCCAGAGGTGCAGGGGCAGTGAGAGGATTCACCAGAGACAGAGTAGGGAGCAGAACAGGATCACTGAGGAAGTACACTGCTGAGGTGAGCAGGGGCGGGTCAAGAGAGGTCTGCTGCGCCATGTGGGTGACTTCTGGGGCAGGGGATGGAACTCAAGCTGAAGTGGCTTTAGCCTTCCAGTGCTGTGCGAAGCCCATTGCGCCACCAGGGAGGGCCTCAGCATTATTTCTGTGTGCAAAATTTAGAAAACATTCCAAGACTGGAAGAATTTTTGCATAAATTGATACCCCTTCAAAATACAGCCTATTGCATAGTCATTAAGGAACCTCTTTTCAAAGAAGGTTTATGAATTTCTTATGAAAAAAAATTGAATTTTTTAGTGAAAATGCAGATATTTGACTATATCTGGAATAAATATATTAAAATATGAAGAAAAAAATTCCAAAATACTACATAGCTCCAGGCTCACCTTCTTTAAATTTTGGGTTTAGTAAGTTTCTATAATAAGCTATGTTATTATTTGTAAGTAAACATTTATTATTTTAGTTTTAGCAATAATTATATTTTATTAACAGTAGCATTAATTAATTTCTAAAAAGAAAAATTTTAAGTAAATTCCACTCTACCAATTTGAAAATTAAATTTTCTTTGAGTTCTATATTATGGATTTTATGAATTGTTCATAAATTTTCTAAGTGATAAATCTTTTAAAGAGCTAAAATTAAATATGGAAAATACTTGCTTTCTCCAAAAAAATCCTTGGGAGCAACAAAAAAAAACTGTAATAATAATATTCCCTTTCCTGAACTCCACTCCTTTGAAACTTTCTTATGTGTTTGTATGCTATCTGCCTGCAAAAAGGCTATAAACTACTTGAGTTCAGAAATCATATTTATTCCTTTTAGCAGTATCCAGTGAACACTTATCATATGTTGATAAAATAAATAAATAAATAAATTTTTCTAACACAACTGATCCATTTTGGTATCTCAGGTCCAGAGCTTTGAAGAAGAGACTGGTAATCCACTTGATGTAACTCCAGGAACTCTAGGTAAGAATTCATTAAGTTATGCTGTTTCGTCAGTGGTCCTTCAAAAAAAGAATGTAAATAAATGGTACTCAATTTTCTTAATATGTTGAATTTAACTTATTTACATGAGATACCATACCAACTACTGTTATCTCTGCTACTATTATTTCTACCTACTTCTATTTTAAGAAAACGTATTAGCAATGTAAATCTCAATGCAAATTTCAAAATATTTACAACAGAAATGTTGGCTATCACTAGGGCTAAAATAATAGCTGTCTTGTCCAATATTAACTGTCTATATTCCAGTCAGGGTAGTAGACTGGACATAGGGCTAGTAGTAACTCAGCCAAAATTTTCTTCCTCCTATTGCTAGCAGCTTGTTATTACATAAATCGTGTCATCTTACTGGGCCTCAGTTTTCCATCTGAAGAGATAAGTGCACAAAAAGATTTTTAAATTTCTCAGTTCTTTTCTTTCAGTTTCATTGAGAAATAACCTTGTTTCAGGGTCCTGTGAGTGACTTAGCTTCCATATATTGCTAAGTGACCATAAGCTTAGGAAATATCCAGCACCTCCTATCGTCATCAAAAGAAAAAAGTGAAAACTTTTAGAATTTACTCTCTTAGCAAATTTCAAATATCCCTCACAGCAATGTTAGCTATATTCAACATATTCTACATTACAACCCAGGACCCAGTTAACTTATAACTAGAAATGCAAACCTTTTGATCCCCTTCACCTAGTTTGCTTCCACACACCCATCCTAGCAATCATTTTTGTAGCTATGAGTTTGTTTTTTCATTCAACTCCCCCACCCCATTTTAGTGAAGATACTTTTTCAAATTCTCTGCCATAAATTATAATCTAATTAGGGAATCATCTGACCTTCATATTAAATTTTCAGTAGAAACAAGTTGCCTAGATGAACCTTTCCAAATCATTTCATAGAATGACTCTATCTTGTCCTGGATGAGAGCCTTTCTCTCATCCTGGTTCTTATGCTCCCGTTCAGCCATCACTGTGGCTCAGCGTTTCCATGATCCTATAGCAGAGCTAGAAGTAGACTGGAATTAGTGAAGCAAAATAAAGCAGATGAAGCTAGTACATTTCCTGGAAGAAAATATGCAAATTTTTAATTTAATTTAGTGTGGTGTCAAACACATCTTTTTCATTACAAAGTGTATGTATGGGCCTCATTTTGCTAAATGCTGTTTAGAAATTATGCATTAGTAATTATAGGGTCCCGCTGATTACATAAATTGTTATCCTGCTCTTTGAAGTAATTACCACATAACCTGCATTGAGGTTTATAAGACAAAAATAAGCATCTGTTTTCCATCTAATTGAATGCTTCTCAATGAAGCTAGAGGTCCCCTTGCCAATAGAAACTGCCTTCCTTGACATTCAATTACAAGGTCTGCAGATATCATGTAAGGCACCCCAATTATTCCAAAAAAAAATTATTTGCAAAGTTAGGCAAAAATATTATTCTACATTTAACTTTAAATTGAGAAAGCAAAGTAAGAATACAAACAGGAACCTAATGGAGATTTTATTAATGGGATTTTATTATTTTCAAAAATAATGTTGCTAATCCAAGAAAAATAATAATGGAAGAAATTTAATAAAACTAGTT